AAAAAAAAAAAAAAAAAAACCAAAAATCATCATCAACTTCAATCACGAGTCCACAAAGCAAAGAGCAAAGAGCGGAAAGGAAATCCATGGCCAATAAAGAGATGAAGGATAAAATCAATAATCTCGATGTCCAATTTCGTGGCATGAGCGAAGCCATCGATACGCTGGGCGAAGGACTCGACAATACCAAGACAACGGTTCAAGATCTAATGGAAACTGTGAATAGGCGCTTCGACGAGATGGCGCGCACGGTGCTCGCGCGCCTACCACCGCCGCTGCAACATGATCGCACACGGCATCATGATCGCGAGCGGGTCGAAGGAGAGGAGCACCGACGGGAAGAGTACGAATGCGAGGAGCAGTTCGATCAGCAGTCCCAAGCATCCAACTATCGCGAGCGACGTGCACATAATAAGTCGCGCATCACGTTGTCCACGTTCACGGGCAGTGATCCGGACGCATGGCTCAACAGGGCAACGCAATATTTTGAGCTCAATGAGACCGACGACCCAAATCGTGTAAGTTATGCCGCATATTATCTTGATGGTGAGGCCAATGTATGGTGGCAATGGCTCATAAGGATTTACCGTAAGCGGCAACAAATTATCACTTGGGATGTTTTTGAAAAAGAGTTTCTTACACGGTTCAGTACATCTGATTACCATAACAACAACGAGACTCTCATACGCATAAGACAGACAGGCAGCATGCGCGAGTACATCAGGGAGTTCGAATGGTTGGCCTGCCGCGTGTGTGATTGGCACGAAGATGCATTGGTGGGAGCGTTTGTAGGAGGATTAAATTTTGACCTAGCTGCAGAGGTTCGACTCGAGAGGCCAGACACCATGCACGACGCGATGGAGGTTGCCCCACGACGCGAGGATCACCTGGTTGCGACGCGAAGGGGACGGGCGGACGCCCGGTTTGCTGACACGCGACGCACGGGTCTGAGTCAGGCGACCACGGGAACTAGAACAGCCATCAACGCTCGACCAGCCGGGGCAGTAGTCAGGCGGTTGTCGCCTGAGGAAGTTAAGCGGAGACGTGAGAAAGGCCTCTGCTTTACGTGCGAAGAAATGTTTACCCCAGGTCATCAATACAAACAGGCCTTTATAACTGAGGTTGCAAATTTCGACGATGAGGAAACTGAAGTTGAGGAAGAACTGGAGCCAGCAGATAACTTGGAAGCGTTCGATGAGGAGCCAGAAACCTCGATGCACGCAATGGCTGGAATTAGAGGATCAAGACCAATGCGACTACTAGCATGGGTCAAAGATCGAAGGATAATCGTACTCATAGACAACAGTTCGTCGCATAATTTCATTAATGCTGACTTGTCTCAAAAGCTGAAGTTGCCAACCCCAAAGATTGAGCCCTTTGAAGTTCGAGTAGCCAATGGTGAAAGGCTACAATGTACTGAGTCATTCCAGAAGGTGCCAATCAAGTTCAACAGAATTACTGTGATGGCTGACCTCTATGCCTTACCTTTGGTTGGGCCGGATATAGTTCTGGGAGTACAGTGGCTCGAAAGGTTAGGCAAGGTGACTACCGACTATCGAATGGAAATTATGGAGTTCAACTCTGGAGGTCGACAAGTCACTCTGAGTTCTGGCAACGAAAAAGGTACCAAGGAAGTAGGGCTGAAAAGCATCGAACGAGTTTGGTGAAGTGGCGGCCAAATCTTTGCAGTAGTAGTCGAGAACACTGGGGCACACATAGACAAAGACGAGCAACAGCAAAGAGATGTGCGCGAGCTTCTCGAGGAGCTCGAAGGAGTACTGGGCGAGCCTAAAAGTCTACCATCCCACAGAGAATTCGATCATCGCATACCACTGATCAATGAGCAGCACTCCATACATGTTCACCCGTATAGGTACGCTCATTTTCAGAAAACTGAGATCGAACGACAAGTGGCCGAGATGCTAGAGTTTGGGTTAATTCAGCATAGTTCAAGTCCATTCTCATCACCAGTATTATTGGCTAAAAAGAAGGATGGTACATGGAGGTTTTATACTAACTACCGAGCGCTGAATGCCGCGACTATCAAGAACCGATTTCCTATTCCTAGTGTCGACGACATGCTAGATGAGTTAGCTAGATCATGCTATTTCTAAAAGCTCGACCTGAGAGCTGGTTATCATCAGGTTCGACTCCACAAGGCCGATATTCCAAAGACAACATTTTGTACACACCAGGGGCATTATGAGTATTTGGTGATGCCATTCGGACTGTGCAACGCCCCATCAACTTTCCAGTTTGCTATGAATTCCATCTTCAAGGAGTATCTGCGTAAGTTCGTTTTGGTATTCATTGGTGATATCTTGATATATTCCATGTCGTGGGCTGAACATCTTGAGCACTTGAGAGTGGTGCTCGAAATCTTGGAGGCCAACTCATTTCAGATCAAGCCATCCAAGTGTTCATTCGGGCAGAAGATGGTTGAGTACCTAGGGCATTTCATATCCCACGAGGGCAAGAAGGTTGATCCATGAAAGAGAGGCTATGGTCGACTGGTCTAAGCCTTCAAGTCTCACATAGTTGAGAGAATTTCTAGGACTTACGGGCTACTACAGAAAGTTCGTGAAGGATTATGGAACCATCGCCAAGCCACTGACAGAGATGACTAAGAAAGGCGGGTTCACATGAACCGAAGCTAGCAAGGAAGCGTTTGGGAAACTGAAGGTCGCCATGACTACAACGCCAGTGCTCGCAATGCTGAGGTTTGATATCTTGTTCGAGGTACACACAGATGCGAGTGACATTGGGATTGGAGTTGTGCTAGTGCAAGAAGGACGACCCTTAGCCTATCTCAGCAAGGCACTAGGCATGACTCGACTGGGTCTATCTATGTATGTGAAGGAGATGCTAGCAGTTTTCGAGGCTGTAAGATGTTGGAGGCCTTATCTATTAGGGCGGCACTTTCAGATTGTGACTGACCAGCAGCCACTTAAGAATCTACTCGAGCAAAGGATTGTCACCCCCGAACAGAAGTTCGTTTCAAAACTTATGGGGTTTAACTTTGAGATAGTCTACCGGCCGAGTATTCGTTCCCGACAGTGGGCAGTTACGCGAGTAGATAATGCAGCACTTCCACATTCTAAGATTGGAGGCCACTCGGATATCTACCGCACATGGATGAGAATAGCCAATAACTTCTTTTGGCCAGGATAGTAGAATACGGTCCGTGATTACATCGCATGGTGTGATGATTGTCAACGCACTAAGTCTAATTCACGACGGCTGAGCGGGCTGTTACAACCCCTACCGGTACCCGAGGCAATCTGGGAAGATATTACCATGGATTTTATTGAAGGGTTGCCAAGTTCTAACGGTTTCGACGGTGTTATGGTCTTAGTGGATCGTCTCACAAAGTATGCTCACTTCATACCTATCACTCATCCTTACACTGCAAAGTCGATTGCCAGGCTATTTGTGGAGTACGTGATAAAACTGCACAGAGCACCACGATCTATCGTTTCTGACCGAGATCGGATTTTTATGAGCAACTTTTGGTCTGAATTCTTCAAGTTACAAGGGACGAAGCTATCTATGAGCTCAGCTTACCACCCACAGAGATATAAACAAACTGAGGTAACCAATCGAACTCTCGAGAAGTATTTAAGGTGCTATGTCCATCAATTTCCAAAGAGGTGGGAAAACTTTCTGCCTTGGGCTGAGTATTGGTACAACACTACTTATCATGAGTCAACCAAGATGACGCCGTTTGAGCTGGTATACGGGCGTAAACCCCCGACGTTGATCAACTATTCGGAAGGAAGTACGGTCAACGATGAGGTTGGCCGAGAACTCGAGGAACGATATCTGATGTTGCGAGAATTAAAGAAAAATTTCGAAGGCTCAATTAATCGAACCAAAGCCTTCGCAGATGGAAAAATGCGTGATTGTACCAGGAGAGTATGTTTATCTGAAGCTACGACCATTCGAGAAGCGCACGACAGCACAAAGGGCAACGACTAATCTTGGAGTTCGCTATTATGGACCTTATCAGATTTTGAAGCGCATTGGACAAGTAGCTTATCGTCTAGAACTGCCAAAAAGTTCACAGATCCACCCGGTTATCCATGTCTCACAACTCAAAAGAAGTATAGGAGAAGCGCAGAAGTATTGTGAGGAATTACCGACAACTGCAACTGATGGGAGGATCATAGTGCGTCCAAAACGGGCGATTGAATATCGCAAGGTAAGGAAAGTAGGGCGCTATCGTTGGGAAGTACTAGTTGACTGGAAAGAGTTGCCACCGAAAGAAGCCACGTGGGAAGATCTTGATCAGATGCGCGATCAGTTCCCGAATTTCATCCTTGAGGACAAGGAAGCGCTTGACGGGGACGAGAATGATGCGAAAGTGGCTAGGCAGCTCAAGAACGATGCAAGTCGCGCTTATCACGCTCGCAAGAGGCTAGCGCGAGAGACAGCCGAAATGCGCACACTTGAGTATAGTGTGTGCGAGGGGCGCAGAAATGGCGAAAGTGACGAGCGCATGGGCCTGCAAACGAGCCAAGGCGTACGACTGGCGTGCGGGACAGGCGCAGCGTGCGCGCAAGACAAAGGACCGCGCGCGAGCGTTGGGAGCACTGCGCGCGGGATGCGCAGCGACGAGGCACAACACGCGCAAGCAGCGGGGCCGAGAGGCGCGCTCGCGGGAAGGTCGAGCGCGGAGGTAGCACGCACGCGCGATGCCGCAGTCCTCGAGGAGTGTGAACTAGCGGACCATCACGCGCGAAGGAGAACCGCGGACGAGATTGACGTGCGTAGCACGCCGGGCGCCAGTACACGCACGTAGCAAGTCGGCGCGCCCTAGTGCCGCTCGAACTAGGCAAGGCACGCAGGCGGTGCGTGGGGCGTATGGCCAAGAGAGATAGAAGTAGATCCTTGGTGTGCAAGCCAAGTTATTTAGTTTCCATCTTCCACTATGATATCTAGCTTAATTAGGACACTAAATATTTTATTGCTTTATTAGTTCCCTAGGTAGAATAGAATTAGATCTAATTTGTGCGTATATAAAGGGCCTTCCCCTATGTTATTTATCATCATTTAAGAATTAATAGAAATCTAGAACTTCTGTTCTTCCACTTTGCTTTAGTTTTTCACCAAAATACTACTGCAATTTTATTCGTTTCATTAGGCGCGGTTGTGCTAGAGAAACACTATCGGCGATTCAAGGCGCAGGTTAGCGGCTTATAGACAATCGAAACAAACGATCCTCATCATGCGGGCTGTGCGCGGGCTGCGCGCATGATACGGAAGTGGAGTTTGACGCCGGTAAGGATAGTGAGAATGGAGAGCTAAAATGCGAATGGCGCGCATTGGGCCATGATGCGCGCAATTGGGCGTGGGACGAACGCGGGTGCGCGGCAAGCAAGCGGCGTGCAGACGTTGGCGGGACGCGCTGGGAGTCACGCGGAGAGCAGACGGGGTGCGCTGGGTGCGCAAGTGGAAGTGACGCGGACGGAGTCCTCGATCGAGCGGGCATAGAAGTACCGCGCGATGGAGCTCAAGTAGATGGTACACGCGGGCGCATGCCTAAGTGCGGAAGGCGTAGGCGAGGAGGGGCAGGCACGCACGTGCAAAGGGAAAGGCGGCGCTGGCTAGGCGCGCGTATGGGTGCGCGCGTGCGACACTGGCACGCGAGGCCTAGTGCGCCAAGGACTAGGCAAGCACGATACGCACGCGCGAATAAAGGCGGCGTCCATATTAGGCGGCCGAGAGATTTATTGGGAGCGAATTACTTGTGCATCAAGATGCTTGGTGTGCAAGTCAAGACATTAGGAGTTATAGTAATATTAGGATTTTATTTCTATATTGCTTTAATAGTAGATGCGACGAGATTTACTAGCATTAGGATTTATTTATTGCATAGTTTAGGAGATCTAGTTTTCTTAGGCCTAGATTTATTTTGCACCTATAAATACCCCATGTACTATTCATAATTTTATGTCTTGAATTGAGTATTGAATTGATGAGTCACTTTAGAGAGGGGAACTTTATGTTCTAACGTGTGTTAAGCAAGGCCTTACTGCGTGTTTACATACAGTGTCGGAGAGACGGCCATTAGAGCGTCTCGAAGTCAGTGTCTAGAAGAAGGCTGATAGTGCGTCTGTTAGATACAACTATCGTGAGTAAACGAAGGCCCTGAGTGCGCGTTTATTCACAACCCGTATAGACAGAAATCTGATCCGTCATCATTGGTTCTTTCATTGAGAGGTGCTGATCGTATTTTTATCTATTTATCTTTTTTCTTTTTTCAGTTTTGCCTTTTGCTGAGGGGGCCGAATTATTCTTCCTATTTGGTTCGATTTTTTGGTTTTTTTGTGGGTTCGAATTTTTTTTTCGAATTTTCCCTTTGATTTTTCAAAAATTTGAGTCATAAAAAGAAAGTGTCATCTTGTTAGTCTTTTTTTATTTTTCATAGAGTCTTAAAAAAAAGGAGAATCATGATGTCAAACCGTGAAAGAATCCAAGCGTTGGAAGAAAATCTGAAGATCATTGGTGATGGCCAGCATGTCACCAACGAGAACTTGGAGAGAATTGAGCTGATGATCCAGGACTTGGCCAGGCAGCTTACACGCATGCACACGCGGCCAAGAAGGGGTCATGGTACAAGGTCCACGGCATCGAGCACCGGGACCAAGCACGAGGACGATC